TGGAATCATAATAATAACCCTACTTGAGAGTGCACTATAAATACCTAGATAGGTTAGAAGCATTTTTCTTTATAAAGACATGGGAAGAAATGCATCCATCTCTCTAAAATACTTTGCTGTTTTAAAATAAAGTTTTTCTGAACACAGATATCCCCAGGGACAGTCAGCATAAATCATGTGAATTTTTGTTCTTAAGACTTTCCCTTTCATAAACAGTGAAGGGTCAAGTCTTCTACAAAATGAGGGGTTGGCCAGCAAATTAGGGCTTAAATGGCACAATCTTGCTTCCCGAAGTAGACAGCAGAAAGATGAGGTGGAAGGGCCAAAAAATGAGAGCAAGGAATTGTAGGATTGGTGGACTTCCTGTGCTCAAAGCATGTGGTACATGGGTATTTTCCACATTTAGTGGAGAATGGTGGACCTGAATTTAGGCACTAAAGTTCAGCAAAGCTTCCAGAGTTGGGTGGAAGCATCAGTGGGGACTGAGGAAAAGCATTTATAGTATGGATGATCAGCAAGTTTAGGCTTGAGGGTAACCAAACTCCACCCCTAACAGTAAGCATGGACATGCTTGAGATACACAAAGCAACCCCTTTCCAACTCTACAAGAACCGGAGAAATCTGGGCAGGAAACCTGGGCGTAGCAAACTGCATGATTTCTGTGTGTGTGTGGGGGGGGGGGGTGGCATTTTGCAGTTTTTGCTGAATTCAGCAAATTCCAGGCTTTCACACACCAATATATATATATGTGTACAACTGTAAAAATATATACATGTGTATATATATACACACACACATGAAAAGAGCTTAGGTCTCTCTCTCTCCATTTCTGTTGCCAAGGTAGTGCTAGCTTAGTGCAAACAGATAAGCTACTGCCTCATGTTGTTAATTCACCTTTGCAAAAAACCGTCTTCAGTTGAATGATTGGAGAAATACTGTCGAGTGGTTGAGGTGTTAGACTGAGATGCAAGAGATTTGGATTTAATTCCAGGAGCTGCCTTGGACTTTCTGTGTAGCATTGGGCAAAATCATGTGTGTTTCTGTGAGTTGATTTCCCACTTGTAAAATGAAGATAATGGTAGCAGAGAACCCACTCTGCTATCATAGAGATTGAGAGACACTACTTAAAGGACAACTTTTCAAAGCTCTCTGAAAAGTACATGCTTAATTGAGTGTCCTGGCTGGGATAAAGCTCAAACTGAACAATAGTTTTCCAAGGGACAGAGTTTCAGAAAGCCAGCTTTCATTTTTTAAAATATACTTAAGGCTCAAGCCATCCCTCAAGTCTGAGCGTTCCTTAGTCCAGAAGGAGCCAGCCGATGGCACACCTGCCACAAGTGGCATAGGCAGTGTCTGTGTGTGGCACATGGCAGATCAGGGAGAGACCAGGAAACACATTGACAGATATAGCACAGAAGTGGATCAAGGAGGGGAAGGGGATTGGAGTGGTATCCAGAAAAAGTGGAAAGAAAGCCTCCTGGCACTCCTGCCACAAAATGTGGCTCCTGCTGCCTTAGTCGCTTAATATTAATCTCAGTAAGAGTGTGGGATCCACAGCCCCTCTGCAAAAGCCTCATTGCAAACATTCTTAAAGGCAGAGTTCAGCTCTTTAGAATGGCACGTTCTAAATGCTTGCATCAGGTTGCAACATATAGACAAAGAAGGACAAATTGAAAGGGTTTCTAGTAGCCATGTAGGGACACAACTGGGAGCCTGAGGCACACAGGTAGCAGTGACTTCTGGTTCCTGTCCAATTGCAATCACATGGCTACCAGCAGCCGTTATTTTTTTTCACCTTCCCGCTCAAGTCGGTGCCTTGGGCGCTTGCCCTGTTTGCCCCACTCTAGTTTTGCCATTGCTTTCTAGTCAGTTTAAAACTCTTAAATGAGAATATACAAGGTTAAAGGACATGGTACACCCAAAAGGTTAGAGGTGAGTATGAGGAGGCTGCTGGTGTGAGGGACTGGGCAGCAACTTGGAGAAAGGGCAGACTAGAAACGTTAAGCTCCACTAAGGACTTACAAAATTTATCACTCTAGAGGGCAGGGGAGTCCCGGCAAGGTGGGCCTCAAGGGGCAATATGATGGACACAGGACCCAGTTCAGTACATAGTATGGGCTACATTTCTGAGGAAGCATGTGACTTTCCAACCCACTGTCTTAAGTAAAGTACTGATGTTTTTGTGGCTTCGTAATTTATGTTAGAGTTTTAGATACATTTTATTTCAAGTCTTTTCTCTGCTTTTACTAACTAAATTACTTTTGCTGACCTGGCATTTAATAAAAAAATGGAAAAAAAAACCAATCTGACTTTCTTCTGTTGTCAAATGATGTTTCAATGATTTGCTCACAATCAAATCAGGAATGAGTTTCAAAATAATAATAGTGGCATTACCAATCCTGGAATAGAACAGCAAGTTAATTTGAAGTATATGTGGGATTTAGTTCTTATAGCAATCAGCAAAGGCACAGTCGATTGTGCCATTCTCAAACATCTCTCCCTAAAATTCTACCTCCTAGGCAGAAAAACCCCCTCAAATAATTATTTGCACAGAGTGATCTCTTAGGGCAGCTGGGCACTAAAAAACAATAATTTAGCCTGATTCTATGCAATTTATTTTATTTAGAGCTAAGCAGAAAGATTATGAATGGGCTGACCAAAATAGTAAGCTGCTGGCTTTGGGTTTTCAGCAGACATAGTAGCAATGCTTGCAGCGTTTCATCTATTACTGTCAAGGGTGGTGCTATTACCAATGATCCCACTACAATAAATCAGGTTGATGAACAGTTTTATGGAGGTGTTATACATCTACGGCTACTTTCAGTCCAGTTAAGTAATGTGTTTTTAGATAAATGTACTTGAAACATACTCTTATTGAAGAGCAAGATGTTACAGATAATAATTCTATTATTACAAAAGAGGAATTACTGTAACTGTAATTGCAGCAAGGTTACATGCTAGAACTCACTTTTCCCCCCTCCCTAGCCTTGGGACAGCCTTACAAAGCTGCCATGAAAATGTGCTACTCTAAGCGTGTCTGCTTGCTTGCCCCTTACTACAATGATTGATAAGGTAAAAAAAGAAACAAGTAATAGCATGCTGCTTGCCTGCTCAAATAAAAATCACCTATCACCTCAAAGCAAATAGAATTATGTAAGGCTATCCAGACTTATGTAAGGTTTATCCACTCCAGCCATTCTCTTATTAACCCACTATTGGATAGATTTAGTCATGCTTTCAAAAGAAATTGCTTCCTTACTATAGCAGCCAGCAGGAATACTCTTGTCAGTTAGGGTTACTAACATACATTTGCAAGACTAGACTAGTGATCCAGCTCTAGGCTCAATCCAGTGTAGCCAAGCCAACGTGACAGGACTGGGAAGTGTTTCCTATCTATTAAACAGTTTTGAATTTGGCCTTTCGTCTTTTTGGCTATGACACTAACAGCTGTTAGCCAGTGAGATGACAATCAATCTGTTTAGCCATCTGGCTTATCAACAGCTCAGAACTTGCATCACTTGGCTAAAACATTTGCCAGATTCATTTATCTTGAGAAACTAATAGTAGTAGTAGTAGCAGTAGCAGTAGCAGTATTGGCTTCTGCAAAGTGGACTTTGTTGGCAGTCTTGAAGAGAATAAAAGTTAGAAAGTAAGAAACTTAAATTTCTTTCTGCAACAGCAAAATTATATGGAAAAAAAAGGTTTTTTGCAAAAATCTAGTTGGTCTAATAAAAGATATCACCTCTACCATGAGTTCTGATAATTATGTGAAGATATTTCTAGGCCAGCTTCTAAATGTTTTTGGCTGCCCAGCCAGATCCCATATATAAGAAAGCTAGCTTTCAATACATTCACTCTTTACAGTTGGATCAGGGAGAGAGAACTGAAAACTGGAATGCCTAAAGAGCTCAAAATGGTACATAAACAATGCTTGTCATTCACACATGATGTACTAGAACAGAGCTGTCCAACTTCTGAGCAGCTGGGAGCCACGCACCGCACCGGCTGAACCAGCAGAGGCTGCATACCTGCACTAGGGCAAGGCATAGGCCCCTCAGGCGATCACCCCCTACACTGTACTGTGCAGAAATGCCTCACTCACTTCACCATGTACCCACACTCCCCTTCCTACTGCTGCATGGCATGCTCATGCCCTCTGCCCTCTCCCCTTCCCCACCGTCCCCAGCATCATGCACATGTTCCTCCCTATCCTCCTGTTGCACCATGCACATAGCCCCAGGCACAACCACAGTCCCCCCAGGCAGCCAGGCCATGTCACGCTACCTCCTGGGGCAGAGGCTGGCAGCAAAAGCCAAAGGGAGGAGGAGCCTCGAGATGCCAGCTGCTTTTGCAGCTGGAGCAATGTGGGGAGTGGCATCTGGGCAGGAGCCCAAGGGCTGCAACTTAACCTGTTACAGGTCACATGCAGCTCCTGGGCCACCGGTTGAACAGCCCTGTACTAGAAAAATGGAAAGCAAGGCAGATGTAAGTGGGGCTGATTTCACATCAGCCAGAAGAAACAAACCCTCTTTACATTTTTATTTCAAATACTATTCTTAAAATTGTTAATAATTGTTACGCATTTATCACTCAGTTTTGAAAAGAGACAAAAGTGTCTCAGTTTCAGTGTTCATTTGAGACACAGATAAGGATTATATGTGATTTTTGTGTAATGAATTGTACTATTGTCCAACAAGGATACAATTTTAGAGGTGCAGAGAACATGAAACACTTTTCAGTCAATTAGGGACTTAGTAATAGCATTGTTACACACTAGTCTGACATTCTGGCCCTAGTCCTGTGTCTGTGTTTGTTTGTGTGTGTGTTGCTTTATTCAGGTGAGTTAGTCCCATAGCATTCAGTAAGGATACTCACTTAGTAAAATGAGGCAAGAGTTTAAGTGTTTAGGGGATTGTGGCCTATGAAATGAAAAGTTACAATAGAATCACATCAACCCTTACTAGCCACATATACAATTAGATAATGAAAGGCCAAACATGGATATGCCAAACAACTCTTTATTTAGAAAAAAGACTGTGGCTAAATAAAGCTATCATGGCATGATCTATATCCCAAACAAAAAACAGAGGCAAAGTTTTTAAATCAACAACCCCATTTTCAAAAGGAAAAAGCAGTCAACAGCTCCCATTGAGCTCACACATCCTTTGATCAAGCCAGGAAATTGCAATTTACAGTTTTAAAAAGTCAGGTTTCAATGCTGTTTCATACAAAAAAGTAGAGTTTAGGTATGCTTGTTCAAACAGCAGGGTGCTATTCAACTCAAAACTCTTTGAAGTCATTGGTATTATCTATGGAATAAAGTCTTATTTGTTGCACCAAAGGGCATTGAAATCTGACCCTTAGTAAGATCACAGAGGCAATGCTTGTGGACTCCATACCTATGACTTTTTAATGTTAAAAGGTTGCTTATCAGGGCTGTGTACCCTTCAATCTCGGGTGTGTTGCTGAAACCCAGAACTTGATTTAGTTACATCATATTTATTATTAGCCTCTAATGTTCTAGAATTCATCAGGTGTGGCTTGACATTACTGTAGTACACTCATGCCCTATAGCCAGAGTCCCAAAATAAAATCCTGGAATTCAGAAAACATGATGTACCCAAACCTTCCTATCCTAACCCTTGATGTATGTATGCACCAGCAATGAAGAATTCTCTCACAGGTATCACCTGTTGCTTAAAGGACCTCTGCTCCTTTTGAATTATACTACTTCTTTATCCACCTCTTCAATTTCACTGTGGTCCATCTCCCCTTCAGCAATGGTACTTTACTATTACTAAAGCTATCAGTCCATCTCTAGCTTTTCTTCTTTCCACATTATTTAGATATACTTTTTTTTTTACCTAGCAGAGCCAACTGATCTTCCTCTAAGATGACCCTTCCCCTCACTGAAGTCTGTGACACAGATCTTTTTAGACTTCAGTGGGAGAAAGACCAGAACTTCAGGCCTTTTTGCTTTTCTGCTGAAAGCTTTCATCTCAAAAAGAGATCACTTGACCCTACCACAACCACCCCCACAAGATGCTTCATGGGCAAAGAATGACTTCCATCTACCCTGCTTCTCCTCTGACTTTAAAGGAAGAAGCCATTCCTTTTGGCAAGAATTGTTGAACATACAGGCATTATGATATTTTAAGAATGTATCTCTTCGAGTTAGCAAAACCTTAGAAACACCCAGGTAAGCACATGCATGTGTCAGTCTGACACACTTTCCAACCTTCCAACTTTGGCAGGACTGCTGACAGCTAATACTTATCAGTTAAAAAAAAATATAGCATTCACACAACTGGTTACTCCCTTACAAACAAATTTCAAGAGTTTTAAAAGTGGATCCCTAAAATTAGAAACCTAAATCTATATTTTCAATAAAGCCAAGCACCAAGAAGCTCTTGGGAACTGCTGCATGCATCTCTTTTGACTATCAGACAAATAATTGGAGGCTGGATTTTCAAAAGGCCTACATGCACAACAGCTGCCACTGAAGTCAGTTAGAGTTGATTACACATTTGAGCTAATGCACATTTCACTGTTATGGCCAACTTTTTAGAGACAGCATATTGTAAACAAGCAAGAGAATAAACAATTAATCACAAGGTTAGACCACACATTATCAGGTGGCTAAATACAGTGGTTGAGTATCTTGCAGTGAAATGCTCTCTTTCTCAGGTAGAAAAACAGCTGTAAAAATAAGCCTGGATTTTCCACCAAAGAAAGTTTCTGAATCAGATTATAGACATGTTGTGCTCCTGTGCACCACCAGCAAAAAAGAAATGATAGCTATCTTCAATGTCCAGTGTCTCAGTAGCAGCAATTTGGTCCCTTTTGACTCCGCAGAATAGAACAGATAGAAAAATTCACTCAAAAATAGCATATAGATGTCCCTGCACCAGGACAGGATGTAACAGCCATTACATTATAAGGATTTTGGTGCAGCTGTATCATCACTCCAGTGAGTATAAGTGAGAAGGAAGAAACCCTTCCAAAAAGGATAGAGCACAAGTATCTGAGACAGGTCTGGAAGGAAGGAACAACTAAGCCTACGTAGAAGGCTTGGTAAGGCATTTCACAATGTATTATTTTAGAAACAACTTTTTTACAGTGATTGAGACCCCAAGAGGTGTGACATTTCCCCTTCCCCAACCCCTGCTCCCTTTTGTTCTGTAGGTTTGTTTGGAACAGGACAGGGACTTGAGCAGAAGATGACACTGGCACATGCCTGCACTTCAGTGAGCCAGCCATTCATTCTTTCAGAAACCAGACCTCATTCCGCCGCCCATAAGGTTTCATTGGTGGGTCGTAGCCATTACAGAAGTAGAAGGCTTTGCAATAGGTAGCCTCACTCCCCAAAGCAGACTTCAACTTGGCAGCAAAATTCACATAATCCGCTTCCTTGGCATAACCACCAAACTGCCTACAAAGGAAACAAACATAGAAAGACTGAGTGGGGCAATCTTGGAACAGCACAAAGAGAGCATGGGAGAACAAGACACAAAAATAGCCTCGTGTAGCTATTCCTGATTAACCTGGTGGAGGTAGATAAAAGCACTGCCTTGACAATCCCAGAGACTGCAAAGCTTTAGTCACCTATTGAATCTATACGAATGGTATCTCTTGTACCAGCTCCCCAGAGCTACTCTCCCCTGTGTATCAATCTTAAGCTGGAGGAACAACTTCCTGTCACAAAGGGATACTTCTCTCCACAGCTAATGCATTTCTTAGTCTTTCTGCTACGACTGTCAACACAGTGTTAATCATAGTGTGAACAGCTGTCTGCTTAAATCTGGACTGAGATGGGAAGCAAAATTCTAGCTCTCAAAGATGAGGCAAAAAAGGATGTTACTGATTGCAGCAGAACAGCCAACAGCATACAGCTCACATCAATATGTGAAAGGGGAGGTCTTGAACTGAATGTTGTCATATCAGTTTCTTGATCATTGGAAGCTGTCTGCAGATCATCCTGCACCTCATTGCTCAATGTTTGTGACAGTACAGTCTTTCACCATAGAAACAACTAATAGCCAAAAGCTGAATCAGCAGCATTCAGACACATGACAAGAACCAGCTAACTAGAAAGGAAAAGACTGCCCTCTTACTAAGAGATTCCTATCCAATGGACCACTTAGAGGGTTAATAATAGAAGGCAAAGTCTTTCACTGTTAGTGTGTTGGCCTGAATCCAGCACAAACCAGCAGCAATCAAGAGAAAATATCCTATGGCTGTTCAGTATCCTAAGTGGCAACTTGTGGCTTGAATTTAGTTTCTAAAGTCAAGTGACTACATGACCATTAGGCAATAATTGATCCCTGGATAAGGCAAACAGCTGGCTTGTTATCATCTTGTTGTTTCCTGGCCTACAACTTACATACGTGGCCAATATTAGCAATGCTGGACATTTAAGGAGAAATTTTAAAATGAACTTTGAGCTGGTAAGAGACAGAGGAATGTTTTACTCGTTTTATGTTAAGAACCAGAAGGAGAATTTGTCGGGGCAGGGGTGGAGCTGGGGAGACCTACAACCACCTAAAGAGAAGCATTTGTGTTGTCATAAGTAAAGTATTTACTTTTACACTGGATTTAATCTGTTGTACCCCAGATGATTTCCAGCCCCTCCTCCTTCCCAAAAGGAAGTGCAGTCTGAATGACCAGCCTTAAAAACCAGCTTGATTCTAGCAACTGGGAATTAAACAATTATCTCCATAGTAGCCCACTGGCCTGTTAGGCTATCAGGAATTCATAACCCAATTTTTCAATCAAAAGTGGCAGGTGGAATTCATTCGAGTTCTCTCTCTTCAGTTAACAGGAGCTGCCATATTGGGGTGCTGATGTACTTCATTTCAGATTTTTGTTAGCAAAAGGATTAGCACCATGGCATGATCTAGATAGTGCCTGAAAATTGTTCTCATCAGAGAGCTGTCTGATAGGGCTGTATGAAATTTTGCCAGGTGTTTCATTTCAAAGCTGTTTCGATGTGTTTTGAGCTGGGAAACATGTGGCACCTGGGACCAGTGGCAGCAGCAATCTTCCCTGGCACTGGGCACGGGCTGCGCCCAGCGCTGGACCCAGGTAGCAGAGGCAGCCTCCTCTCATTCAGCGCACAGATCCAGTGGCTTGCACCCCCGTGAGGAGTCCAGCACAGCCCAGCAGCCCTCCCAGGGGTACAAGCCCCTGGATCTTCCCCCTGGATGAGAGGAGACTGCTGCTGCCGCCTGGGACAGGTGACAGTAGCAATCTTCTCCAGTGCTGGGTGCAGCCCATGCACAGCACGAGTCCCAGGTGGCAGAGCCAGCCTCCTTTCATCCAGGGTGCTGATCCAGGGACTTGCACCCCTAGGAGGGCTGCTGGGTTGCTGCAGCAATCTTCTCTGGTGCTCTGGCACAGCCCTCCCAGGGGTCTGAGTCCCTGGATCTGTCCACCGGATGAGAGGAGGCTGCCACTGCCAGCAAGTGTCAGCAGGTGGGTTTTGAAGAGTTTAAGTTGCAGTTTCCCAGAAACCTCTGCACCTATCTCCTTGAAACTTAGCAGCAGGCTTCATGCCCTCGGAAGGGGCTACCATCCCTGCAATTTTCATCCAAATCAGGCAAGAAATGACACAGTTTTAGGCATTTTCATGATTCCCCATTATAGCCTATGGGCGAAACATCAAAACGTGTCGAAACAGCAAATCAGTTTTAACAAAACGAAATGGGATAACGCTTCCAAATGAAAGAAAATGACAAAACAAAACACTGTCCTTTCGAAACGGTGAAATGGATGTCAAAACGAAATGATAGTGTTTCACACAGCCCTACTGTCTGATATCTGCCTGAGGTTGATGGTCTCAGTCCAATTCCTAGTAAGCCAGCATCTAGTCTCTTCATATACACACAAATCATTATCATTAGGGCACTAATTAGTCATTTTGTTCTTGATTCCATCCCTCCATCTCAGGTGTGACAACAAGAGGTGTATTATTAGAGAGCATGTTATGTACAGACTGTTTTGGTTTACAGGACTGGTAAGCTGGCATCTTTCATAGACACTGCATTTATATTTAACGAGTAAGAATTCCATTTTCTTTGTGCTGAAACATGAACACAGTTAAGAGAAAAGCTTCTTTGTTCACTATGGTAGGAGCCTTTGATTTCCTACTGTTGCATGCACATTGTGACCAGTAAGTAAGCTGGCAAAACTAGAACCCAGGCCTCCACACCTTCTGGCAATGCTGAGATCTGATTCTTACGTGGAGTAGATGGTCATTTCTTCCCTCTCTTCAATCGTAATGCTTTCATCACTAGGATGAGGAGGGTTGGCCTGATATTGGCTTGGAATCCGGAGCAAGACTTTCACTTTCTGCTGTAAAGAGCCATCCTCAGCAGGAAAGGCAGTGATGGAAACTGGTGCAGTCATGCCCATTCCTACCCCTAAGAGGGACACAAACAGACATATTACACACATGGTCCAAGTCCTTGAGAAACTACATACTAAAGTTCTGATTTTTGGTGTGATTGAATAGCCACAGCTCTGACTGAAGTCAACAGGCATTGCAAGTGCTCATCACTGCTGAAGAAAAAATTCAAGCTTTAATAGTGCAGGAATTAAGATACTGGGACAAACCAATTTTCCATGTAGGCCAGCATCCCACTTCCTACAGAAGCCAATGCCAGATTCAAGACCAATTTAAAATCTCACAAGGTGCTTTACTATCAGAAGTTTCTTCCTGATCCTCTCCAATAATTGTTTTAGGTCCAAAGCATATGAAAGTATATTTGCGTTGCCTCACTGAGGTTTAAATACCCTCTTTGCAGGTTCCAGTAACTTAACTCTGAGCTCTTTTCACTTCTGCTTACATTGCCTGCAGTCTTACCCACCCTAAAGTGGCCAGCTCCTCTCTGAAGGTATGTACAGCAAATAACTTTCTTAGATGTGCCAAGATGCGACTGGAAGGAATAGATTTTTTTCCTTCTCTCCAGGCACAGTAAAATCTCACTGTCAATGCAACAGTAGAGGGAGATAGAGATGAAATCCCCAAAATGCTCTCTCACTAATTTGTAGTTAGGTACAGCACTTCTCTTCCCAGTGCCATGGATTAAGGATAGAGGTGCCTCCTTTTGTCCAGTCACACAGATCACCACTTTTACAGACCCTGTGCAGCAGACATTTCTGTTCTCTCTCAAACTGTAGTCTCTTCCCTCTTCCATTTATTTCCACTTATTCCCACTTGGCAAGTCGTGTGAGGAAGTCTATCAATCTCCCTTCAACACATCACATACTTGGGAGAGGTACAAGGGCAGTGTTTAGGTGATGTATACATACTCTGAAATGCTACCCTGCTGTTTTAAACTATGTGTCTAGCTTTGCTCAGTAAGAACTGAAAAATAATATTTGCATACTTAGACAAAGTATAACAAACAATATATTTGTTTCATGAATTAGAAGAGTCTGAACAGTTGTGCTAAGATAAAAGTGACAGAAGTAATCTCTCCCATTACTGAATACAGGGATTGATTTCCTGTCTACATACACAGCAAGTTAAGGTGCAGAAATCACATGCCATGAACACAGATGACAGGAATTCCCCTAAGAAACTACTATATAGTATCCATGAATCCATGATCTTCAGAAAATAATTAATGCAACTGCAGGTCCCTCTTGACACAAGGTGGTACCAGTCTCTGAGCCAAGAAGAGCTGTCAGGTTTTCTCACCCTTGTCATTGGTTCCTCCAACATACTTCAGGAGCTTGAGCACAGCTTCCTTGGAGGCCTCGTCAAATTGTTTCCCAGTTACCTCCACCACAGCAAACTTTCCACCTTCACACGCCCTTTCTTCATATGTTACCTCTTCCTGAAGAGAGAGCAGAGTCAGGAAATACAACTGTCCTGAGAGATGCAACATGCCTCACAACAAGGGAAGTATTTCCCTGGGAAAGTCAGAATCTAGCAAGAACCACTGCAGCTGTTGTATGAAGACCATCAGTTTGGTTGTTAGAGGGAGACAGCCAACAATGCTGACTCAGCTGGGACTTTCAGTGCTGCTCCCCATAAGAGAGACACTATCCACCCTCCTATCTTCCATGTTAGCAGCCTGCTATGGACAGTTATGATGTCCCCAGGCAGAAGAGGAAGTTCTGCAGGAGAACTTCCAGTTTAGAGTCAGTCACGTTTGCAGAACCACAGATACTGGCAACAAGGGGAAACAGAGGGAGACAGAGACAAGAGAGACAGAATACAGAATAATTATGACCTATACTGAAATCATGGATAAATTAGGCCACTTAGGTCATTCTGCTTCATTTGGACAAGCCCTGCTGAGATATGTAAATGTTCTTCTATCAACTTTGTGTCTCTAGAGAACAGCTACATGATCTAAATGAGATTAGAGTAGACCAAATAATCAATTACAGAGAAGAAAATCCCATAATATAACAAAGGGTGGCCATCATAGAGGGCATTCTGGTTTTCTGCTACTCTGTCCTCTATTGATATGAAACCCAATGCATTTAGGACATAAACACGTCTGGTTTTGTATCAGTAGGGGACAACCAGACTGTCTTCTATGATGGCCACCCTAATATGACAACACTTTTATTTTGGTGCAAAGAGTAAACTTAGCTTCTGACTCGGGAGAAGTCTGAGCAGGCCATAGTTACTACCACATTATTGCCCCCCAAATCTTGAAACTGGAAACCTGGAAATAATTTGGGCAACCTGGCCCCCTCCTACATCGCAGCATGAGACTCCGTCGGGTGTCTCCCCGCCAGCTGGGCAATTTCCACTCCCCAGCCGGGGAGGGCCAATTTCAGGGGGCGGCACATGCCCCTCCTACGCGTCGCCTATGCACTGCCCTGAGGTGTCCGCCTGCCTTCAGACCAGCGAAGTGACTCTCCCTTCAGACCCAAACCCTTCACTCCGCAACCAAAGGCTCGACCTGTTCTTCCTCCCTTCAGCCCAAACTATTCCTGGAGTGTGACCCGCGGGGAAGTTCACTTCCCCACCCACTAAAAGGCTTCACTTGCTTCCTCTCAAGAGCGCGTTTCTCCGGGGGGGCGGGGGCGGGAAGCCTGGGGCGCCAGGTCTGCGCGCGGCGGGCCGGGGCAGCAGCGCGGCAGGGACGAGGCCGCAGCGCGGGCAGGGGCAGGGACGCGCTGGGGAGTGAACGGCTGCGGGCAAGCAAGGGCAGGGCTCCGGGCTCCCCGGGGAGAGGGGGGGCGCGCTCCCCGCCGCCAGGCCCCGGACCCCGCCGGCCTACCGTCTGCCCCGTGCCCAGGACGCGCCAGGGCCACGTTTCCACCGTCCCGAACAGGGAGTTGCGGATGAGGCCCAGCATGGTGCCGCCCGGCCGCTGGCGGGGGAGGAGATCGGCGCGGCGCGGCCCGCCCAGCAGCGCCGGAGGCACTCCCTGCCCAGTTGGCGGGGAGACACCCAGCGGCGTCTCATGCTGCGATGTAGGAGGGGGCCAGGTTGCCCAAAGGGACCTCCCCCACCCCCACTTCCACCCCGGAGGTCGCCTCAGGGGAACGTCCTGATCCACTGCCCCTAGTGCCTGCGGGCAGGGAGATGGAGAAGCCCTATTCCCCACCTCACCCGCCGGCCACAGGAGAGAGGTTTAGAAATTACACACTTCCAGCAGTGTAAAATCGGATGGCAGAGAGAACTGCAGGTAGGGCCGGGCCGGGCCGGGCCGGGCCAGGCCATGGAGTGCACCACCCAGGGAGGCTTTAAAGAGGAGTCTGGGTGGCCTTCTGGCTTGAATGATTTTTGGGACAGGATCCCACATCTGGGCCTGGAGGTTGGACTTACTAGATGACCCTCCCTTCCAAGCCTTTGATTCACAGCTGGTGTTTACCACTGATGTTTGCACGCAACATCTGGCCCTGAAAAGTATGTGCTCCTAAGCTCAGCAAGTGCTTGGAGATGCTACTGCCGAGCCTCAATCCCTCTCTAGTTTAGCCCCTTTCAGTTAGCTGTGCCCATCATCCTGGAAATCCTTTTTTTCAGATCCCAGGTTTGCCACTCCACATTGGCCTGCTGGATGTAAGGAGACCTATTTCTAGTTCGGGCACAGGGGTGCCTGTATGACCTTGGGCTAGTTGTTTAAACTCTCTCTGCCCATTTTGCTTCCTCCTGCAGCACTGGATTGATACTTACCTGCTTCCTCTGTGAGCATACGGTTTATATTTTGAGAAGCCATGGTAGAAAGGGCTGTACCTATGTGGAGTAGTGGATTGCACAAGGCTGTAACAGTTGAGATGGATCCGGTGGCGTTCTGGGGAGTGATCCTGCTATATAATTAGTGCAGAGTGTGGAACTGGAAAACGTTGAAGTCTCTCAGGATGAAGTAATGGAAAAAACTGAGAAACTTAAGTATAATAAAACACAGGACCAGATGGTATTCATCTGAAAAAATAAAATATGAAATAGAGGAAAAAGTTATGGTAATATATGGGTACTATGGTAATAAATTGGTAGTATATGGGCTGAAAAAACTCCTGAAGGTTGCAACATCATCAATACTACACTTATTTTTTTTAATAAAATGAGCCAAAAGGAAATGCTGAGAAATACAGCTTCTTTCTTTCAAATTAATAAATGTTAGCTCAAGACAATTATACAAATTTTTTTTTTCAAATATTTGGATAGTAGGGTAGTTTTTTAAAAGATTCAGCTGGAACTTCAGTGTCCATCTCCCAATGATTTCTATACAAGTTGTGTGCATAAGTCCCTTAATTTCATTTAAAACTCTCACCCAATATCCTCTACAAAAGTGCATGGAATTAAATACTTGGGGAGAGGAGGAAAGGGTTATAACCATTATCAATACAGATTATCTGCTTAGCTTTCTCCTTGTATTTCCTTAGAGCTTCACAATCATCAATGAATATTAACTTCACAACATTCCTGTTACGTAATGAAGTTGTGACCTGTTTTACAGCTAGAGATTTGAGGCACAGGAGTAGGTTAAGTAATTTACCCAAGGTCATGTCTGAAGTCTATGACTGAGACAGGGCCTGAACCTAGGTCTGCTAAGGCCAGCTGAGAGCATTAGCTACCTGGCCAACCTGTCCATGGTTGTGTTGGCATAGTTCTGCATGAGCACATAGCTGACTATCTATGAAGCCCCTAAAATAGAATTTTTGTGGTGTGGAAATTGCTTTTGGTACATAACATTCCTCAGCTCTTCAGGAGAAAAAAATGCTAAACTAGTCTGATAATAAAGCAGACACATCAATGCAAAGATAAGTAACCGGATAAGGTAATTATTGAAACACAATTTCTATTATATCATTGGGAGTTTACTGCCTGAAATAGATGGAGAATTTCATATCATGCTGTGTTTACATCTGGAAATGATAATGGACTCAGACATGGACTTTAACAGAAGCAAAAGGAACCATAAATCAATAATAACAGAGACAGATTTAAGTCACTTTGCATTTATTCACTATTGTATCTTCTGAATTAACTTTATAGGGCTGGGAAGTTGTTACCCACCTGACCAAAGCATTCAATCTGTACTAGTTTAGGATGTCTAACAATAGGATCTCCATGCCCATATTACAACTAAATATAAAAACTTGACATTTACATGGTGTCTTATATCTAGATATTACCAAGTGGTCAAAAGCCTTTACAACCATAATGCTAATCTTGAAGCTATTATGTGCAAAGTATTCCCATTACAAAGAATGGGAGTTCTAGGCAGACACACAGTTGATGATACAATGTAATAACATTATATAAAGCAACAGAGATATGATGAAATATATTTACATAAATGATTTGGACTATAAAATTGTCTTCATCATTTAACAGGAAAGGTAGAATAGAACTCATTTGTTCGGAGAAGCAATGGCATGTTCCTATTAGCCTTTTCATAGAATTATAGGGTTGGAAAGACTTCAGGGTCATTTAGTCCAACCCTTGCAGAGTTGCAAGATTATTTGTTTCTAAAACTATTATTCATTAAACTAAGTTTTAGCAATCCCCAAGTAAAGCTAGCAAGAGACCCCAAGTACAGGATTTGTTGTTTTCTAAAAGCATAGCCTCAGAGAATTTGTGCATGGAAAATATCTATTAGTTAATTTTGTTCACTCCCAACACTGCCACTACCTCACTACCAGTCTCAAACTTGATCCCTATCGATGACATTCTGTTTATTAGACCTAATAGCAACTTTGACAGTCCTCCTATGTTATTTTATATAGCTCAGTTTAAAATAATCCACATGAAAAGTGTTTCTCCCAGTTCCCTTTTGAGATTATTTTAATGTAACAAATCCTTTACCCCTTACAGTCAACCTTTGGAAAGCCTTTTAAATAGCTAGTCTTCCTCCTTAGCATTTACATCTATAGAATGTTTGTAAATAGTTGGTAGGTTGGTGGAATGGCTACAAGTTTCATAGTTTCATAGTGCTTAGGGTCGGAAGGGACCTAAATAGATCATCAGGTCCAACCCCATGCTCCGGGCAGGAACAGGTGCCATGGTCATATCACCCCAACCAAATATCTGTTCAGCTTCCTCTTGAAGACCCCCAAGGTAGGAGAGAGCACCACCACACTTGGGAGCCCATTCCAGAGCCTGGCAGCTTTGACTGTAAAATAATGTCTCCCTAACCTTCTCTCTAATATTTGTGGCCGTTATTCCTAGTAGCAATCTAGATCTAATTAGTTCTTTAATTTGATTCCACCAGACCTTTTCATGAACTTTGGAGTCCCCAGCCAGTTCAGCACTTTCTAAAAATCTCGTCCTTAAAGCGTATCTCAATTTCAACATTAAATATAGTACCAACGCACTCCAAACCACTAGTAATGTGTGAAGACTTAGGCCCACAAGGCCTTGTGGTGTTTCTTATCCCTAACACGCTTTTCATTTTAACTTCTCCTCAACAGAACATGCTTTATAGGAATGGTTATTAGGCAAGGCTAGCATTTTAAAACATAACTGCTCCCCTGTAGATCCCAGCTCTGATTTTTCAAAGGAGCTAATACATTCCTGTTCCTACTGATGCCACTGGTAGCTGTGGGAGGCTCAGCACATCTGAAAAAACAAATCATTTCTGTATGGGTCCCTACGTGTGAAGTAACTTACATCTGAAAATACTGGCCTGAGACCATATGTGTGCATTATCCCTTTGTCCTTTAACTCATAGTGTTCTGTGAAGTAGGGAAGAGAAACAAGTGAATCCAATGATTACAAATATCACTCTCAACCATCTGGAAAACATGGGAGGGTGTAGGACAAATAGACCTAACTGAATTTAGATTACCTAATCATTTAGCATGGATCATAAAAACAGTCATCACCAACAAATTCTGCTGGATTTGGCCCAACAACTTAGATTCAAAAGGCATTCTATAAACCAGAACTCCTAAGCAAGTCTTGTCAATAATCCAGATACTCAGTCATATATGTTTTACTTGATCAGGATAACAGTCTCTCACTGATAAAGCGTTGAGGACAAGAAAAGATAGAAATGTTTGTTTATTTTTTTCTGGAAGACAGCTAATTCCTCTGAGGCCTCCGGCGGATATATATCCTCCTCCTCTGATGAAACGGGAGTCTCTGTAGCTGAACACTGCTCAGCCTCTGACTCCTCAGGGCATTGTATCGGGTTGGAGAGATGGTCTTGCTTATTATCCTGAGTCGTTCATTCAGTTCAGCCAGCCTCTTTGTAATTGAACGGACTTCCCTCAGGAGGTCATCTACCGCTGCGGAGACAGGACGGAGGCTGCAGACAAGAGCACCAGAGTTAGAATAGACATGTCTGGAACCAGGGCCAACTTAACCCTTTAGTGGGCCCTAGGCAAATGAACTCGTGGGCCCTACTTAATGCCGTATATTTGTATTACTTTTTTCCATTCAATAATTATAACAGATAAAATAAGCACAACTGGAATCCTTCTTCACTTAGGGCCCTAGGCATGTGCTTAGTTTGCCTATTTGTTAATCCAGCCCTGTCTGGAATGATTACTTAGCACACACTGAACTACCAATTCTATATTTCTGCAGTGTCTTTCATGATGGACATTTCCCAAGAAGCATAGACGTTTCAGTAGTGACCAGTGATTTCAAGTCCATCAGTTTTTAGAAACCCAACTTCAGATACCTGAAATGGGCCTGGTTTTCAAAAATGCATTTATTTAGCATATTCTGAACATCAGGCTCCTTTTAAGGTTTCTCAAGTTTTAGGCTCCAGAAAAACACTGTGTGTTTGACCAAGCATAGAGGCATATGCACTGAAGTGTAGCCAGCTGGATATGGAATGTGTCAGCTGCATTAACAGCACACAGAACACTTGCAACATTTCAAACAGGAAGTTGGAACTATATGCTGAAACTGGTCAGTTTAGTTCTGTCCATGTAAACTTAATCTGGCCCAGATACCCCAATTATCTCTGTTCTACTAAG